ATCGGCTGGATTTAAACTGCATTTCTGGAGAAGGGGATTATTGCCTAAACGGCGGCTTCATCTACCCGACGGTACGTGTCGTAACAATTGGTGGCAAGCGACGGGATGAATCCTACAGCCCAGAAGGCCAACTACACATCCCAGGTTGGAAATGCAGTATGAGGAGTTAAGGCGTGCTACCCTTAAAGATTAAGCTTCTCTGGAGCGCAGAGGACGATCAGCGAGTAATCTCAAGAAAAGAGAGATTATTTCGATATTATTGGAAATGGATGCAGCACAGGGAACGGGGGGAGCGGATGTGCCTGTCATACTGGAGTTAACACCCGAAGAGATACAGTTTAACCGGGCAGTTCAGATCAGGCTGGCACATTTTGGCCCCAACCCCGCAGCAGATATCGTGGTGCAAGTACAAGCAGCAGTAGCAGCACAACAGGCGCTTCAAGGAAGAGGCGCTGCAGCAGCTGAGGTGCCTTATAACAATAATAATGGAAGGAGAAAAGTACCTTTTGCTGCATTTCAGAACTTTGTAGAAGCCGAAGGGGAAATTGATGGATTTCTGGCGGATTTTGAAAGGCAATGTGCCTTACACCAGGTACCCGCAGGAGAATGGGTCCCCATCCTCTCTGGGAAGTTATCCGGCCGGGCCAGTGAGGCGTTTCGGGCCATCCCAGAGGAGGAACTTACCAGCTACAGGGCAGTGAAAGATGGCCAGATATGCTGTGACCCCGGAGGCATACCGACGGCGATTCCGGGACACTAACAAGCAGGCTGGTGATTCTTACGTGGAGTGGGCATGCCGAGTACACCGCACCGCAGCCCACTGGATGGCAGGGTGCCAAGCGGTAACTGGGGAAGAGGTGCTGCAAGTGTTTTTGTTGGAGCACTGCTTTGACCGCTTACCTGTAGGAGTCAGAGAGTGGGTTAGGGACCGCAAACCCGCTACCTTACCCGAAGCTGCTCGTCTGGCTGATGAGTACACTGACGCCAGGAAACTGGACCAGACAGCAGCCAAGGTCCCTACCCGAGTGGAGTACAAACCAGCAGCCCCTCCAACCTCTGCAGTGTATCAACACCCAGCACAACGCACCCCCACCATGCCAACAGCGAACAATTACGTTCAGCCAGCCCGGTTCAACGCACTCTCAGCCGATCCGTTGCTACGGGTGTAAGCAGTTGGGGCACAAGCGACCCGAGTGCCCATTAAAGTCACCATTCAAGCCAAGCCCAGTCGTGGAGAAGACCAGCCGGCGGAAATCAGCAGCCACCCCACCTTCCGCTCACTGTCTGGAGCAGGAGGAATTTTGGGGTATATTACATGAGGCGGATCCAGTGCAAGCAGCGCAGCAGGATAACCGTGCATAGACAGACCGTTAAACTGAATGGCAAAGCAGTAATTGGTCTGAGAGACACCGGAGCCACTATGACTTTGCTCCAAAAGAACCTTGTTTCAGAACACCAGCACACTGGAGATACTGTGGCAGTGAGGGTGGCGGGAGGTGCGGTGTTTCGTTTACCGGTTGCCCGGGTTCACTTGGATTGGGGGGTGGGCTCTGGACACGTGAATGTGGGGGTCATGAAAGACTTACCGGCCGATGTTTTACTTGGGAATGACTTGGCCCCTTTGGTGTCCGCTTATGCTCCAATGGGACCTGCCGCTATCAACCCAGTGACTACCTGTGCCCAGACCCGTGCTGCTGGAACCAGCCCACCTGCTGCTGAGACCCAGGAAAGGACCGAGTCCCCGACTGGTACCCTCGACCAGACTTTTGTTAACTGGGATTCCCCAGAGGAGTTTGGGAGGGAAACTCAGACAGATTCGACCCTCCAGAAGTATAGGGACAGAGCAGATACTGGAGAGGAAGGATTAGATGGGGAACGGTATGAGTGGGTGGGGGACAGGTTGTATAGGATCCCCAAGCTTTCCCCGAAGAGTGTTGCCCCTCCGCCGAATCGACAGCTGGTAGTGCCCGCGAAATACCGGCAGGAGATTCTGCGGATAGGGCATGATGTTTCATTAGCTGGACATCTAGGTTCCCGCCGCACAGCCTATAGGATCATGCAGAACTTTTTTTGGCCAAACTTCAATCAGGCTGTGCGGACATACTGCAGTACGTGCGACACATGTCAACGGATAGGAAAGCGGGGGGACCACCCAAGAGCTAGGCTTATGTCTATGCCTATCATTGGGGAGCCCTTTGCCCGCATAGCCGTTGACATTGTGGGCCAGGGCTAGTCCATCCGGTAAGAAATATATTCTCACTGTGGTGGATTATGCCACTCGCTATCCAGAGGCAGTAGCGCTGTCTAATATAGAGGCAGAGACAGTTGCTGATGCCCTGGTTAGGATTTTCACCCGAGTCGGGTTCCCTCAAGAGATTCTCTCTGACCAGGGAACCCAATTCACCGCTGTGCTCACCCAGCAACTGTGGAAGGTGTGCGGTATTAAACCGCTGCTTAGCTCACCTTACCATCCACAGACTAACGGCCTCTGCGAGCGATTTAATGGCACCCTCAAACAGATGCTGAGGACCTTTTCTGACACTTGCAGAGACTGGGAGCGATTCCTGCCTCATCTGTTGTTTGCCTACAGAGAGGTGCCCCAGGAATCTACTGGGTTCTCCCCCTTTGAGTTGCTAAATGGGAGAAGGGTCCGCGGACCCCTAGATCTCATTAGAGGCCACTGGGAGGGGGAGACAGAGCAGGAAGGGACCCCCATAGTGCCATATGTTCTGGAACTCCGGGACCGCATGGAGAAACTGTCCCTAATGGTAAGGGAGAATCTCCAGGAGGCTCAGGGGAGACAGAAGAGGTGGTACGATCGGGGTGCCCGACAGCGAGTTTTCCAGGTTGGGCAGAAAGTACTAGTGCTCAAACCTGTGAAGGCGAACAAGATGCAGGCATCTTGGCAGGGCCCGTATAAGGTGTTAGCACAGATATGTGATACTACCTACCTTATAGCCAGCTGTTCAGATGAAAGGATCCAGCGATCCTTCCATGTGAACATGCTAAAGGAATATCAGGAGAGACCGGAGAATGTCGCTGCAGTATGTGCCCCTGCTGCAGATGATACAGAAAGTTTACCCTTGCCAGACCTGTTAGAGAGGGACCCCCAGACGGATCTTACTAGCCTAGTACAGCTAGGGGACAGATTGAGCGCCACCGAGAAGGGCCAGGCAAGACAGCTTTTGTGGGAAAAGCAGGCGACCTTCTCCCAAGAACCTGGTTACACTACCCTAGCTGTACACAAGGTAGAAACCCCTGGACAGAACCCTCTGCGACAACCCCCTTACCGTATCCCTGAAGCAGTCCAGGAAGGAATGCGGAAGGAGATACAGGAGATGACCCAGCTGGGGGTCATCGAACACTCCGATAGCCCTTGGGCCTCGCCTGTAGTCCTGGTGCTCAAGAAGGATGGGACCACCCGGTTCTGTGTGGACTACAGGCGTCTCAATGAGCGGACCACCACTGACGCCTACCCGATGCCCCGGGTAGATGAATTGTTAGATCGCATTGCCAGGGGACGCTATCTGACCACCATAGACCTGTGCAAAGGCTACTGGCAGATTCCCCTGGCCGAGGATGCTATCCCCAAGTCGGCCTTCGCCACCCCATTTGGCCTGTACCAATTTAAGGTCATGCCATTTGGGATGAAGAATGCCCCGGCTACCTTCCAGCGCATGGTGGATAGACTTCTTGATGGATTCCAGGAATTTGCTTGTGCATACCTGGATGACATTGCGATCTACAGTGAGTCCTGGGAAGAACACCTAGTACATGTAGGGGTGGTGCTGGACAAGATTCGGGCCGCTGGCCTGACATTGAAGCCAGAGAAGTGCCATTTAGGCATGGCTGAAGTGCAGTACATGGGTCACAGAGTAGGGTGTGGGAGCCAGAGGCCAGAGCCAGCCAAGATAGAGGCAGTTGCCAACTGGCCCACACCTATCACCAAGACCCAGGTGTTAGCCTTCCTAGGGACAGCAGGGTACTATAGACGCTTCATCCCCGACTACAGCTCTATTGCTAAACCCCTGACTGACTTGACCAAGAAAAATCTTCCTAAGCAGGTCCTGTGGTCTCCGGCTTGTGAAGCTGCGTTCCAAGCACTCAAACAAGCTCTTGTGAATGCCCCTGTCCTGGCTGCTCCAGTCCCTAACAAACGTTTTCTCGTCCATACAGATGCTTCCATGTATGGACTGGGGGCTGTGCTGAGCCAGGTCGGGGAAGATGGAGGAGAGCACCCTGTCGCATATCTCAGCAGGAAGCTGTTACCCAGGGAAGTGAGTTATGCGGCAGTGGAGAAGGAATGTTTGGCTCTGGTGTGGGCATTGAAGAAGCTAAAAACAAACAAACAAGCAATATAGGCGCTAAAAATATAAATGTATCAGTGCAAATATTAAGAATAAAGGTAGAGCAGCACCTAAAAGTGCACAAGCTCAAAAAACACCATACAAAGGATATAAAACAAAAAAGGTGCGCTGTACCTTTAAAATTTAAAGTGCAACAAGTGCAAAAAAAATCGTGCAATGAAAAGTGTACATTCAATAAAAACACACTCAAAATAATAAATGTGCAAAACTTGCAAGTGAAGAGTGATAAAAAATATACAAATGGTCACTTACAGTAGGGAAATATGTCTCAAAGTAAAATACATATGGTATGGTACATAAAAAAGAGAGAAAGCATATAGCATAATACTGTTTAAAATAACATAAAAACAGCCAAGAAAAATGGAATAAAACTCACAAGGAAAGAGCAGTGAAAGTCTGCTCTAACTTTTCAGCATGTAATCCACAACACAGGGATTTGATGACAGTGAAGAGCAGGACGCCAGCTGAATCAAACAATATTTATTTCTTCCAAATAAAAAAACTCCTTTTCCCCCATAGAAGGCCAGTGTCCCATTAGATACTTGAAGAAATGAACACACCAGGGTTCACAATCTCTGCAACTCGCGGCACTATACAGGGCACTTCCGGGTTCGGAGCTCCATGCGGTCACGTGATAACGTGATGACGTCGTATGCGAACGTGATGACGAGGAACGAGGAAGCCTTTTCTGGGCGAAACGCGTCATCACGTTCGCATACGACGTCATCACGTTATCACGTGACCGCACGGAGCTCCGAACCCGGAAGTGCCCTGTATAGTGCCGCGAGTTGCAGAGATTGTGAACCCTGGTGTGTTCATTTCTTCAAGTATCTAATGGGACACTGGCCTTCTATGGGGAAAAAGGAGTTTTTTTATTTGGAAGAAATAAATATCGTTTGATTCAGCTGGCGTCCTGCTCTTCACTGTCATCAAATCCCTGTGTTGTGGATTACATGCTGAAAAGTTAGAGCAGACTTTCACTGCTCTTTCCTTGTGAGTTTTATTCCATTTTTCTTGGCTGTTTTTATGTTATTTTAAACAGTATTATGCTATATGCTTTCTCTCTTTTTTATGTACCATACCATATGTATTTTACTTTGAGACATATTTCCCTACTGTAAGTGACCATTTGTATATTTTTTATCACTCTTCACTTGCAAGTTTTGCACATTTATTATTTTGAGTGTGTTTTTATTGAATATACACTTTTCATTGCACGATTTTTTTTGCACTTGTTGCACTTTAAATTTTAAAGGTACAGCGCACCTTTATTGAAGAAGCTAAGCCCGTATTTATATGGGCAGGAATTTTCCCTTGTGACGGACCACAATCCCCTTGTCTGGCTTAACCGGGTCTCTGGAGACAATGGCAGACTGCTGAGGTGGAGTTTAGCACTACAGCCATATAACTTCACCATCACTTATCGATCCGGTAAGCAGAATGGGAACGCAGATGGATTGCCCAGGCAAACCGACATCCTCACCCCATCTTAGTCCGGTCATCCCCACGTTGACCCGCTAAAGGGTCAAGCCGGGTCTGCCGGAGTGTCCCACAAGGGGGAAGCCGTGTGACAGATTCATCTGCATTGTTGGTTCGTCTGTTTCCCTTTGTTCGCGGAATTGCCTGTTCATATACCCCCGTTCGTGTAATTTGCAAAATGCCGATTGAAACTACCGAACGAACGACCACCCAGGAGAGGAGTGTGCTGCTGGTTAACCTCTTGGCCCCAATTAGAACGTTGTGGTTAACCGCAGACACCTCTCCATTCCGTTCGTACGGGTGGTCGTCGTTCGCATGTCGACCACGAGGCAGCGGCCATTTTGGGACATACGAACACAGAGCGGTGTTCGGTACAAACTGTATGGAACTAAAAACGGACACTTAAACTACCGAACACCGCTGAAAAGCTGCTGCCTACCTTCCTTTTTGACAAGGCATGCGAACGTCGGTCGTTCGGGAGTTTTAATCATTCGTATGGACTTTTACCCCGACAGCCATCCCATGGAGTCATTCGTATACCGAAGGACTGGTGAAAGACTTTGACTCCATGGCGATTCGACTAGATACATCGGATCTGAGCGCTATTCGGTGAAAGCATGCCCTCAGATCCAGGCTGTCTGGGGATACGTTACACGAACCATATGCATTCGGTATTTCTGTCGTTATGTATTTTAATGTATTTTTGTTAGTGTATTTCAAGATGGCGATTGTCTCTACCTTGAGAGATAATTAGGTTTCTTCCCAATTATCTCCGAGGTAGAGAAGACGGAATTATGGGCCAGATGGGAAGGGCTATTATTGAAGCCACTGCGATTGGCTACTGTCCAATATGTTTTACAGTCTTCCACAAGGTCCCCTCGGGGAGTGTCCACCTTGTGGAGACCTGCATAAATACCGGGCAGGTAGCCCCATTAAACAGAACTTCATTTGACCCTCAAGACGGAGCTTGGTCTCGTTTGTGGGGGAATTATTACTGGGACAGCGCTTTCGTTATTTCTAGCTGTGGAAGGCGTTCGACTGTTTGGCTGATCGGGAGTTGCCGTGTTCGTAGACTTCGTTCGGGAGTTTGGCGATCGGCTGGATTTAAACTGCATTTCTGGAGAAGGGGATTATTGCCTAAACGGCGGCTTCATCTACCCGACGGTACGTGTCGTAACAGGGGGGTAGGTAGGGGATAGTTTTTTTTTGGGTGGGGGGGTGACTAGGGGCTTGGGACCCCTAGTCACCTTGATTGGGGGGGGGGTGTTTCATTTAGGGCCCCCACCCACCGCTCAGGGGTGGGGGCCAGGGGAGGAGGACAGTAGGTCCCCCCCCTTATTGTTTTATTAGTGCCCCCACCCACCGCGCAGGGGTGGGGGCCAGGGGGGGAGGACAGTAGGTCCCCCCTTATTGTCTTATTAGGGCCCCCAACCACCGCGCAGGGGTGGGGGCCGGGGGGGAGGACAGTAGGTCCCCCCCTTATTGTTTTATTAGGGCCCCCACCCACCGCGCAGGGGTGGGGGCCAGAAGTTCCCCCCATATCTTTATTTAGGGCCCCCACCCACCGCTCAGGGGTGGGGGCCGGGGGGGGGAGGACAGTAGGTCCCCCCCCTTATTGTTTTATTAGGGCCCCCACCAACCACGCAGGGTGGGGGCCAGGGGGGGGAGAGAAGTTCCCCCTATATCTTTATTTATGGCCCCCACCCACCGTGGGGGCCAGGGGGGGGGACAGCATCTTTATTTAGGGCCCCCATGGTCATGGGGGGGGTTATTAGTTTTTTTGGTTTTTTTTTACAATGAGCAACTATAAGCTGCTCACTGCTTACTAGACATGCCCCTACTCGCGGTATAGCGAGTAGGGGCATATTATTTACTAATACTAAGTAATCTTTACTTAGTATTAGTAAATGTGGCTGAAAGACCAATTTAGGTCTTTCAGCCTTTTAGTAGATAGCTCCCTGATACCGTGGGAATTAGGGAGTTATCTACTAAGCGGCTGCAAAATGCAGCCGCGGCAATGAATAGGATCGGAGTTTCATTCATTCGAATAAAATTCCGATCCAAATAAAATGCCGAATTGCGTTCTAAAAGAAACGAACATACTGTTCTCATTCAGTTAGAACGCAATTCGGCAGTTTTGTGTAAAATGACAGGAAGCATCGCGAGATCACAGAGGAAAGCTAGGGATCATGGGAAAATTGCTCTGACCAGCGGAAATGAAGCACACTTTGCTCCTCCGCTGATCAGAGCTGGTCAAGCGGAGGAATCCTCCATAAGGCAAAGAGTCCCTACTTTGTCTTATGATTTTAAAGAAAACTAAAGAAGACAGGAAGAAAAGAATAACAGATCCTGAGAGAGGGAGAGAAGAGGAAGAGATTGATGAAAGGTAAGTTCGGCATGACAGTGCCGCTTTAAGTCTAATTTTCCTATCTTTTCTAAATTCTAAATATATATTATTAGAAGCCATAGTGTATTATAAACGCAATGCACAAAAACAGTTAAAAGATAAGGGAAAAATAGCAGATACAGAGAAAACCAATTAGTTAACTGTTAGTGCTATAATGCACAGAGTACCCAAGGTTTTTAAGTGTTCCCTTACAGACACTCAAGTTACAATAGTGAAAAGAAAAAGAAAAAAACAAAAGGTACAAAATAATGTGAATCACCAAAGTGATAATTGAAATAAATTTAAATCAATACAAACTGGCTTGTGTTGATATATTCTGAGTTCAGAATTACATCTGTGACAAGACCACAGATGCATTGGAGAAGCCAGGTTGCTCGCCTGTTGCCTTGGGATTATGGCCCCATGGTAAAAGGCTTGATTTTCCCCTGCAAAGACAAGAAAGCCGGGTCATTTGGTGCTTGCCCTGTTTGAGCAGTGATACCCCAGATAGCTATGCCATGGAGCCCATTCGTATAATGAAAGACTATGGGAAAGACTTTGGCTCCATGGCAATTGAACTGTATGTGTGTGCTCTGAGCGCCATTCAGTAATAATGTGCGCTCAGACCTAAGCTATCTGGGCATATGTTGCATGTCTGTATTTTATGTCATAAATGTAACCTTGTGTATTTTATTGTATTTTACTGTCTTTTTGCTGCCATGTGTTCAATGGAGTTTTGCCTCTGTCTTTGGAGATAATTGGATTACTTCTAATTATCTCCAGGATAGAAGACTCTGTGGAACTGGTTTTGGGCAGAAAAGCCATGCTTCCTGTGGTCACAAAGGACTACGATCTATCTTTTGAACCACTGGACCAATTTGTATGATTTTGACGTATGTTTGTATTTGGAGTATGCTGATTCTGAAAATGTAAGTAATTGAATCACAAGCAGAGGGGAGGAATTTGTGTGGGAGTGTCTTGTATGTGTTTATTGGTTGTGTTCCAAAACCCTGTGGGTGGTACTAATGTGTACGAATGTGTACATAAGCACAATAAACCCACAGCTCTGTCTGTTCACTGCTTGGCCCTCAACACGGAGCTTTGTCTCGTTCTTGGGGGGATTTATTGTATGCTGTTCCAGTTCGACTGCTAGGAGTGTAAACCTATTCGTATGGTTTTACCTATTCGGCTGTTTACAGCATTCGTATGGTTTCCTGTTCGGTGGATTGGTGTTCTGCAGTAGCTGTGCCTGTGTCTCTGGAAGGGGAAGATCTTCTAAACAGCGGTTTTACCCTTTTATGCTGAGGGTGCCGTTACAACCAGTATTTGCTTATGGGTGGGCTACTCGACTAACTCAGGCACTGACCGACAGGTCGTCAGGTACCTGGTTAATCTCCCCTAAGGGAGGAAGATATGTAGCAAAAGTGACCTCGCCACTGGTCTTTGGAGGGGCCTCCTTGCCAGCCTTTTACCCTGTGACTATGGCCCCTGCAATAGAACTGGTTACTACTCTTCAAAGAGGCTCTGTTTGTGCAATTGGGACTGTGTGGTTCATTTGCAAAACGAACAGAGAACACCCGAGAGCTTGTTAACACCTATTAACAACTTGGAACGTTTCTCACCACAGTGTTCTAATTGTTCATCTGGTGTCTGGAGAAGTGCTTGGAGCCCTTGGTAAGCACAAGGAGCATCTGTTGGTGGAGGTACCCAACCGGGGTACAGGAAGCTCCGTTACAGGTGTGAAAACCACAGACTACAAGGTAACAAGCAGCACGTGCTGCCCCTAGGTGGCTGCCGGTTCGTAGAGCCGAACGCCACCAGGGGGCAGCATTCATATATCTAACCAGCCTGTGCACCCTGTCTTCGGTCCCCTTGTCGGGGACTATCCTAACCACTCTGAAAGGAGCTATGATCACTGGTCCCTTGTCCCCTACCTGGGAGCTACGAGGCTAGGCTCGTGGCTGCCCAAGAAAATGCTCTCTCCGGCGGATGCCTGAGTGTGGGTATCCACTGGAGAGAGGAACGCGTGCCAGCAGATAGTCCCTGGGGCTGAGAGTTGGTTTCACGGCCGCAGGGCTCCCGCTGGCCGCATGGAAGTCTCTGCCGACCAATGCCGGACTAAACTAAGCAACCCAATGGAACTAATTTCGGGGATGTACAGAGCCTTGAGCCCCAGACTTTCGATGCGGCTCTGTACAGCCGATCACCCCGCTTTTTGCAGGGATCCCAGATGGGCTATCTAGCCATATAAGTTCTAACCCTGTAACCCCTTCCCTTCCAGGGGTGCCGAGCCCCAAAATGTAACCACCCTGAATGTAATGTGATTTAAGTGTATCCCTGTGTACTGTTTGGTATCTCCCAGGGCAGGAGATGGCTATCTGTTACCTAGCCCCCTCCTGCCTGGGACTAAGGGAAGTGTATTGTGTAGAATGGAGACTTTGCAGGGATCTGTGCATAAAAGAAGCCTGTGTTCAATAAAGAGGGTGAATCATGCTGGTGAATCAGCCTGGTGAGAAACCTCCAAACTGTGTGTCATCCGTTACTGGAGGGAAGGAAGATTTAACCCCTGTGTCTGCTGTTCCAGCTTGCAGGGGATGAAAAAAAGGGGAAAAGTCTTGGTAAGGACTAAGAACTTCCCGGGCTGAGTGCCGTCTCTGCCTGGGAATAAGATACAAGAAAGTTGTCCCGCTACACATATGAGTGTCAATTTAAAAGAGGCAAGCCCCACATCAACCCCACCATTTGATGGACATATAATAACGTAGGTGTTAGGAGAAACGTGCCTAACAACAAGTTTTTTAAATGGTTTATTGGTGCCTTTGGAATGTAAAACTCTATTCATGGCATATTGTGATAGTAAATACCATTAAGATAGCTGGTATGGTTAAAAAAAAAAGGCTGAGATGGCCACGGTAGGCCAGTCTTATGACACCTATAAGAAAGTGTTACAGATAAATTCTGAGCGTATGACATAGAAAATATGCTAATGTATGCAATATAATTTAATTGTCCTGGAGTATTTACATTTAAACATAGTAGTGAGTGTATTACTATAAATTTAAATGTTGAGTTGTCAATATTTAAAATGACCTGCATAAAACCTGTGTGAAAAAGACATCTAAACAAATGGATCGTTCATCCGAATGAATGCTTGTAACAGTAGACAGTGTGGCGAAACCAACCTCGCCACAAAGCATTGGAGAAGCCTGGTTGCTCGCCTGTTGCCCTTGGACTATGGCCCCATGTTAAAAAGCCTTCTTTTCCCCTGCAGAAAAGGCTTATTCGTGCCTTTCTGCCCGGCGTTCGGTAGATTCAATCTACCGAACAAACAACCGAATGACTGGACCACCTGTATTGGGAGTGTGTTGGCAATTTACCTCCTTAATACCTTAATTGACGAATGCTGGGTGGCCTTTGTTAATTTGCCGAACACGTGGCGGCGGTCATTTTAAAGTCCCGAATGGCCAGCGGTGTTCAGCGCCCAAACTATGGAACTGGAAACGGACACTTATTTGCGTGAACACCGCTGAGTCGTCAGCTTCCTTGCATCTGCATTCGGTCATTTAACCGGATGCCTGTTCATTCAGTAGTTTAACCGTATGAACAGCATTACCCCAGATAGCCATGCCATGGAGCCTATTCGTGTAACGAAAGACTATGGGAAAGACTTTGGCTCCATGGCGATTGAACTGTATGTATGTGATCTGAGCGCCATCTGGTAATAATATGCGCTCAGATCTAAGCTATCTGGGGATAGCTAGAATGTATATGTTTTGTGCAACAGTTGTAACTTTATACATTTTTATGTCTTTTACGGTCTTTTACTGCCATGTGGTTAATGGAGTTTTGCCTCTGTCTTGGGAGATAATTGGATTACTTCCCAATTATCTCCAGGACAGAGGGAGGGAAATTAGGATGCATTGTGGGGATGTTTTACCTCTGTGTGTCTGTCATTGGTTCATGTCTGTCCTTTGTCACAGTCTCCCATTTGGTCCCCTAGGGGAGTGTCCACCAGTGGGAGACCTGCATAGATACTGGGCAGGTAGCCCTCAATAAACCAGACCACTGCTTGACCCTTAACACGGAGCTTTGTCTCGTTCTTGGGGGGGATTTACTGTATGCTGTTAGAGACTGATTGCCAGGAGTGTAAGCTGCTTGGGTGCTTTTACTTTTCATCTGCTAGCAGCTATTCGTGAGGTTTCAGTTTGGGAGTTTGGAGTGCTACTTTGTAAGCAGTTTGGGAGTTTGATCCATTCACTTGTATGCAGTTCGGGAGTTTGGAGCATTCCCTTGTATTCAGTTCAAGAGTTTGGTGTTCTGCAGTAGCTGTGCCTGTGTCTCTGGAAGGGAAGATCTACTAAACGGCTTTTAACCCCTTTGTATGCCTGGGGGTGCCGTTACAAACAGGTACTGTTCATACAAATTGAATTTGGCATGAACTGTAACACAAATGCCACAGCAAAAAATCCCAAATAGAGAAAGATAAGAATCCGTTTAAACGAAAGGTAAGTATATAGTACTGTGGTGGAATCTCGGTAAAAATAAATTTAGTAGGCAGAGATTACCACGTGGCATGTGTACGTGCATATGCTGACGTATCGATCAGTTGGTTGCACAAGGCAAGATACGATCAGTAGTGTACGGAGCATGTGCAAGAATACAGGATGTAGTATTCCCCTCCTCCATTGTGCTGGACAAGCCATGCGGTCAAGCAGGAAGTTAATTCTTATTTGTAATGATTGGTCAAGAGAATGTGCGGGTGGAGCTTAATATGGGAGGAGTTATGTGCCTATATAGGGAGCCTGCACTATTGTTCAGGGCTCAGAACTTGCTGTATTTTTGGTGACATTAGTCCCTCTGAGTCCCGATCGGTGATCCAATAAAGAATCTCTTCCTTCCTGAAGAAACCTGTGTCCATCTCTCTGTGCTTTGCTTCCGTCAGTTTCTCCGGTATCAGTACTTTATGAAAAACTCACAAACCGGTAACAGACACAAATTAATTTTAACGAAAGGTTATACGTCTAAAAACTCCCGAAACAGAAGAAACTATACTAAATAGAATTTAAACGAAAAGGTCAGTATAAAACACGATTAATAAACTCCCGAACGGAGGAAACAAATGGATATTTATACGAAAAGGCCAGTATATATAACATGCTATGAAACTACTGAACAGAATAGAAGGCACAAATGAAAACTTTAACGAAAGGTAAGTATAAAGGGAGCCGACCCCGGCCTTTCCCACGTGTACATACGCAACGTGCTGGATCGCATGACCGGAAGAAGGAGGAGGAGCGGCATCAGGGAACCAGAGCCTGGGAAGGCCTTGAATTTCTCTGCTTTCCTTGGCTGGGAACTGTGAAGAGTAGTCTATGGAGCCAGGAAGAGGTCTTCCATGAATTGCTTGTGCCTGCTGAATGATGGGAAATTTGGACTGGAAGTCTCAGGATGCTATGCCAACAAGAACACCTGAAAATGAGCCCGGTCCAGATAAGAGTATGATTGGGGTTTTATAGGTCCAAGATAGATTTAAACTCCTCCCACAAATACAGGCCTTTGGCCTTAAAACATACTATACTGTTGTGGACAGAATATTAACTAAGTTTACTAAAATGCCTATTTACTCGCAGAAGTATAATCAGTATTATTCATAAATTACTTAAAAGTTTCCCCTCCCATCAACTAACACCCTCAATTAACAAGATGGCGCTGGAATCTGGAGGAGAGCTCCATGATGACAGTGACATCACACCCGGTAGGATGTGCCTTAGTTGAACCACTTAACACCTAACGTATTATTGATGTATTTTCTCTGTTATCTATAATTATGCATTTGATGTATTATTGCTTTATAAGAGGCATACCAGCCCCCTGGATTAAACATTCCTCAAGTTTTTCATTAACCTGAAACTTATGTCTGGTGTGAGTTACTTTGGGAGCATGCGCGCATATACTTTATAATTCGGACAGGGGAAGATATACAAAAATTATCAAACACTTGATTTGATCCACGACAATCTAAGTGTGTGTGTGTATATATATATATACACACACACACATATATATATATACACACACATACACACACACATATATACACATACACACACACACACACACACACACACACATATATACACATACACACACACATATATACACATACACACACACACACACACACACACACACACATACATATACATATACATATACATAGAAAAATAAGATAGCACTCTCAGGACTGTATATAAAAATAAAACTTAACTTTTAATGCAAAAAATCAAAAATCAACGTTTCAGTCTGTTAACTACAGACTTTCATCAGGATTAATACAAATCTAATCAAAATAGACATATATAGTAAAATACAAATTGACAATCAACTAACCCTTCACCAAACCACTTGTTCCTCCCTCTGAGCTCAGTCTGTCACCCACGTGGGTTCGGCCGGCGTTCGGACGTGCGTCAATGACGTCATCACGTGACGTCGGCATTATGACGTCATCACGTGGGCGGACGACCGGCAATGTCATTGGGAGCTGGTTGTTGGGAAAGAAAGACTTCCTGGTAACCAGTAAACTAAAACAAAACACCTAGATAGGGGAGCACAGAACTGTAGAACAATATTAGATATAATTGCACAAACTATTCCTTACTGATAGGCAATAATAACTAGCTTTGACTTAGAAAACCCAAAAGGAGTATTGATGTAACTATACACAAAAAGAAGAATTGAGACTAAACTTCAAGAGCATTACCCACTAGCCTGAAATGCATCAGTATAATTTCCATAACTTAAAGGCTGATTCTAGCCTAATTTAAAGGTACAGTATGTATTACAAATATTTGATGGTTGCATGTTATAGGTGAAAAAGGTACAAATGCTCCTATCTAAAAAATAAAGGAACAATAATACAAAGACCTGTCCTAGGCAAATTATCCAACTCAAAATAGAGACCAAAACTAATCTATAATGAGGCTGCATGCAGAGAAGCAATTACATCCCTAATGGTATTGATGGATGAAACAACATAAGTCTGGACTATGGACATGGTGGCTAACCCCCAGAATATTACAGATATTACAAAAAAGCAGATAATTAATATTTTTCATTAAGTCCATCTGGATAGACAGTTTGTAATGTTGTGATCCAGAACAGCTCACGTTGAAGGAGCAACTTTTTACGGTCTCCACCCCTTCTTGGCACAGGAACGTGGTCAATCGCCATCAATTTCATAGAAGGCAAAGAGTGTCCCAGTTCTAAGAAATGCTTCGCTACCGGCAATTCCGACTTATTGTCCCTGTAAGCAGTTCTAATGCTAGATCTGAGCGCTAGATCTGTGATTTCGGATTCTCTCTCTCAAGGGTAAATCCGTTTTTCCCACATATGTTAAACCACAGGGACACATGAGTTTATAGACAACAAAGTCGCTTGTGACTTTCAGGCGGTGACGAATGCAGAAGCTGGCCCCTGTGTGGGGATGGGAGAATGTTTTCCCAGGGATCATTTGCCCACAGGTAACATACCCGAGGCAACTGTGATGGAACGCTGGCACTCCGACTGAGTACCTCCGCCAATCGATGCTCCTAGTGCTCGAGGAGGACTCCAAGCACTCCAACCGACACCATCAGCACTGCAGACCCCACTTCCAGCATACAACTGCGCCGGGGTCTCTGCTGTCTCCACCCACCCTGGACCCAAGGCCAGGATCCAGCTTCCAGTGGGTGAACCTCTCTTTCCCCAGAGAGAGAGGCAGGAACAAGCTCTTAGCAGAACTTAGTGATCATACCCTGGGGAGTATAGTGATTATAGCAATCCCCAGAGTGTATTTCTCCAATCCCCCAAACATGAGCCAAGGCTTAATGCTGGAACAAGACTGATTTACTGGCACACAGAACTCACAATTTATGCAACACAAAACTCCTCCTCTGGGCCAGGCTAGATAATTGAGTTTCTACAATACACAAAGCTCAATTATCTGCTGGCCAGAAATAATACAGTTTCATAAAACACACAGGGACCCCAAAACATGCAATAACCCCATAAAGTATATCCTTGGAACCGGGGGATCTGGGTGAACCATATATCCAAAATTCACCCAGATCCGTTCAGTACTTTGGAAAATACAGTTTAATGCAGATTCTGCAGAACATATACAGGCTAAATGAAAAACAATCACTTTATAATGTGTCCCCTGCTGTATAGTCCAAAACCACTGCACGATGTCTCTGTGCACCAAATACTGGCGAGATGGCACCGTGTTGAAAAGTCCAAACAGTGTCTGTGAGTTAAAATGGCCGCCATCCATTGTTCTCACCATGTGCTTCTGATACAGGAAATGGTGGCCACCCAGTAACTCCACAGTATGTCCCCAGATGGTTCTTAAAGGGCCAGCAGCAGCACAACACAAATCCATTATGCCCAAATCATGTCTTTAAAGGACAATACATCCCAGGGGCCATAGTCACAGGGCAAGAGGCGGGCAAGCAGTCCTCTCCAGGCACAAGTGGCAAAGGGCACTTGGTCACAGCAACGATAACATCCTAAGTTTTGTGGGACAGTTTCCTTGGAGTAGCAATAGACGGGATCAGAATTCACCAACAAATCTCTCAAATTCTTGTTCCTCTTGTAACAAAACATGGGAGGGTTCTGGAACATAGGAGGTAGTGTGACATCATTTTTTAACACCCTCCAGTTTTCTTCAACAATACGTTTAAATTTGGAGGATGCTGTAGTGAAAGTAGTTGGAAAAGTCAATCTGTTGGTCGGTGTCTTTGGACTAGAGGTTCTTGTTGTAGCAAGACACTTATCAAGTGCTTTTGATAGAATCTGACTAGTATATCCCCGTTGTTGAAATTTATCCCACATCATATCCAATTGCTCCTGTGCTCGGTTTGCATCGGAGTTATTCCTCAGAACTCGCAAAAACTGTGAATAGGGCAACGAATCCTTTAAAGACTGTGGATGGAAACTATTAGCCTGTAGGATAGTATTTTGATCCGTCGGCTTGGAGTATAATGTGTTAAGACACCTCCAGTGTCTTTAGGCAAAACCGCCATTTAGTAGACCTTCCCCGTCTGTAGTAACCGTAACTCCGTTCGCCTAACCTGTAGCACACGAACCAAATGCAGGGGAAGCGGCAATCTCCCGACCGGGATCCGTGAACGGCTTCAAACTCCCGAACGGCAATACACGAACTGCTGCTAGCCGCCGAACAACAATATCCACCAAGCGGCTTTCGGTCCATCCAGCAGTCTCTAAACGTGAAGAAGAAATCCCCCCAATAACGAGACAGAAGCTCCGCATTGAGGGTCAAACAGGATCTGGCTTTACTGTGGGCTACCTGCCCGTATTTATGCAGGTCTCCCACTTGGTGGACACTCCCCTAGGGGACCAAATGAGAGACTTAAATGACAGACAGATATGGGGACATTCCAGACACACAGTCACAGATTTTACCCACAGTGCATTATGATTCCCTCCCCTCTGCCCTGGAGATAATTACCAAGTAACTCAATTATCTCCAGAACAAAGCCAATCGCCATCTTAAATATAAAATCATAAAAGACATAAAAATGCAGAACTTTACAATAACCGAACATTTCCCATTCGTATCACATATCCCCAGATAGCCTGGATCTCACACACATAGTTCAATCGCCATGGAGTCAAAGTTCTTACAGTCTTTCGGTATACGAATGACTCCATGGGAAGGCTATCTGGGTTAAGTCTTTTCGTATGCTCCAAACCACCTGAACGGCCGATATTCGTATGCTTTCGTGGAGACAGCCAGGCAATTCGTTGTTTCAGCGGTGTTCGGCAGAAAAAGTGTCAGTTTTTAGTTCCATAGAAATAGAGCCAAACACCGCTGGGCGTTCGCGTGGTTTAAAATGGCTGCTGCCTCGTGGTCGACATACGAACTACGACCACCCTGAATTCGGTTTAATTGAGAAGTGTCTGCGGTTAACCACAACGTTCTAATTGGGATCAATAGGTTAACCAGCAGCACACTTCTCTCCTGGGTGGCCGTCCGTTCGGCAGGTTTGTTCGGGAAAAAGAGTCATTCGAATGGCTGAGCTATAGAAACCAGCCATTCATACGAACGGGAGACAAACAGACGAATGCAACTAAAATACAAGCAGACAGATGGTTCTGTCACATAATGTATAAGCCAAACCCTGTCCTTCACCTAGGACTCTAATGTCTAAGAAGTCAACTGTAGATGAATTCATCACTGCTGTTAGTTTAATGTTGCTAGTGCAGGCATTGATGCACCGAATCATTTCTTCTGCTTCTATTATAGAGCCCTTAAACACCATGAAGATGTCATCGATATATCTGACATACTGCAGGATATAATCCTTGTAAGGTTCCAAAATATGCCTGATTTCATAATAGTACATATAG